ATCTCGCCCAAGTAAGCAAGGCTTTCTTCATCTATTTCTAGTTCCTCCACTTGTGCACGTATATAGCTAATATCTGGCCACGCATTCCAAAAAAAAAAACATCCATCAGGAAAATGCAATGACATTACACATGTTCAGGTTGAAATTAGTAAGGCGTATACAAGAAAAGTTGAACGAACTGGTGGGAATCTGTATCATTTCAGCTGGACCATAAGTTTCGGTTCTGACAATCACCAACCGATCTAACAAGTCAACTGGAATGCCATGTGGACTAGTCATATCTGTTCCTCTGCAAGGAAATACATGTGGTTAATTTGTTAGTGACAACTGAGTTATAACAGACATCACATGTATCTGTACTGCTGTACATACATCTAACTTCTAAGGTGTCTACAACGCCAAAAACATGCAGTTCGTAACTGAATCTAACAAGTAATTATGTTCCGAGTTACATATTTCTCGTAATTCTCGCAGTTTAAAAGCTACAATCAGATGCCCCATGTAAGCATATTTGATATTAGAAAAATGACAAATTTGTCCTGTATTTTCTTTATCCTTCCACCGGTACAAATAATAAGTTTAGCAAACATACGAAGCAGTATGAAATATTTAATAAACACTTCAATCAACATGCAACTGTTTGATGTATGATAAAAGGCAAGCCAGAAAGCAAATTTTAATTTGCAAATTTCAGAAAATCCCAGAATAAAGAAATCAACATAATGGAACTTGATGAATTTTTCAGGCTTAGTTTTGAACAGCCATACCTGACAGTACAAATGCCTCTGTTAGTGGCAAAAATCACAATCGGAGACAATTAACTCTCCAGTGCACGATTCTAGTATGAAAAGCATTCCATATCAAGCATATGAACCTGCCAAAGACATTTTCTCCAATTAATTAACCGGAGGCGGGGGTTAGTATTAAATGCATTATCAAGCACGTTGTTGTATGAATAAAAAACAAACCTCATCAATAAATAAGACACCAGGAACAAGCTCTGCAACACTTTCGTCAACATAACGATTGACAACCTGCAGTGAAATAAGCACAATAACCCATTATGCTAAAAATACTAAATTCACACTCATAGACACTTCATGAAAATATCCATGAAGGCATGAGTAGCCAATTGGACTGTAATCAACATGCATGAAACAGCATAATTATTCGTCCAGAGTATTAGTAGCACTAATAATCAGAAGTACCTTGTTTATCTCTTGCCGCAATTTGTCAGTAATCTCGGTTTTCCTAGGTTTCATCATTTGACCCATAAGGGACAATATATCTTGTCCTCCTTGTGGCTGTGCATTTGCAGCATCAAGATCATGTAATGTAACATCCTGGCGAAATACAATACTGTGTGAAATTAAATCTTTGGTTTCCTGTTCCTTTCAATCGAGTTCCCTCATAAAAAACCATTATATTAGTGATATCATTTGACCCCCAAAAAAATTGCAGATACTTGGAATTGCGTTTTAGTTTGATCAAAACCACACAAGCAAGCAATCATGGCATGTAGGTATCCACAGAAGATCTGATGTACAAAATCTAACTAACTAAATATTTCAATTACAGACAACTCATTTCCTCCTAAAAGAATCTTGTGCCAAAAGCAGATACTTGGCTGCTTGCTAACTTTACCACTATATTAACTTGTTAACGCCATGGCCTATGATATCTCTTCCAATAACATCCTTAAAATCCAGGAGGCTGAATTCCTGATCATTCTGGTATCTATCTAAGGGATCTGTTTCCTCACTCCTCCAAATGATATACAGAATTTCACACACCCTTCAAGTGTTCAAGTGAGTTTGTTAAGACAAACTATGATCTTTGGTATTCCATAGCTAAGCTATAGAAAATATTGACCATGTGGAAAAGAAGCACAGAAATCAGCTACATGCATACAATGCCAGGTAATCTTCTATTTGCGCCATAGCAAAATAAGAAATGCGACTGCATGGGAAATGAGACAAACCTGGACTATCTCCTTCTTTTTGTGAACCTCTCCTTTAGGAAGTGGAACATACTCCTCTGCCTCAAGATCAAATTCTGTGGCAAAAGCATCACTTCTGCCCACTCTTTTAACCGCTCCACTGTTTGATTCAATGTAAATGACATCACCAACAGCTACTTGCACATATATCGTGGAGACAGGAGATATCAACAGAGAAGATTAGGCTCCCTTGCAAAATAGCGTATATGGGACAGAAGTAAATTAAAGACAAATACAATTCTCGCAATGCCTTCTGAGAACATGATTCAATAAGAATGACATGAAAGTTAATGAATTTACTCAAGAGAAAATATGCTTCAATGTAGATTCAAATGTTGGATGTTAAAATAAATTTCATCATTATCCTATTTATTGAACGTATTAACAAATTGATACTTCACTGGCTTACCTTCTCTTTAATTAAGGCATCATACATTGTGGGGTCAAGCTTCAATTGTTTGGTACCTTTGACAGTTTTCAACCCAACTATAACATGGCTAATACTTTTACAATATCCACCTGTCATGCTCTCACTCTCTTCTGGAGATAGTTCAGTCACCTACATTAGGAATTGTTTAAAAATGAGATCAACTTCACAACGCATCAACATCGCAGAATTACTGTGTCAAGGACCGGACACAAATGAAACGAGAAATGGGATGGAGTATCGACTTGCCTCTCCTTCATAAACTTCCTTATTTTCCTTGATACGAAGACCAATAGCTCGACGAAAACTTTCCATTAAAACCTCAGTTTTCTTCACTTCTGATGAATACACTTCAGATCTAACCATCGGGCAAAATGGAACCTGCAACAGTGTACCAAGACGATAGGTGGTTGGTGTCAAAGGAAGAAGTTACCTCAAGGCCAAGGCCTTTAATGTGAGTATGATTGGCGATTCTTTGCTTCTTAGTGGTTGATTGTACCTCTTCTATCTTCATATTTTTCTTCTTTAATGTGTCTCTAGCCGTTCTTCTTCTTCTTCTCTTTCTGTTAGGGGTTTAGAAATAGCTTCACTAATGGAGGCGATGGTGGGGGATTTTGAAGAGAGATGTAATGCACTAAACGCCCCGGTTTGTTTGCGTTATTGCATATAACCCCTCTAAAATCATCACCCAACAAAGTGCCACGTAGGACTTGCACTAGGTGTAAAAATTAAAATTGTGAGCAAATATCATTTATAGCCCATCGGGCCAAAAATATATCATCTGATAGCCACAAATTGACCCATACAATTCATAACCTAAAAGCAATAACAACCGATAGTCGTCGCCTCCCATCCCTATCTTTCTTCTTCTCTCTCACGCCAGCAACCCATGGTTGTGGTTCCATGGACACTTCTTTTCTCTTTCTCTCTCGCTCTCTCTCTCTCTTTAAAAAGCCTATTTGGTTTCTCTCGTTGTTATTTCAAAAGTATCGATGGAAACTTCATCTAGGCTGAACGGTTTGACATGACTTTTGACACCATGGGTATCGATTCATCGGTCAATGAGGTATTCTCTGAGGTTCAGTCTACTGTTGTCAACCCTCTTTTCTTGAAGAATAGATCTCTTGAGAAGACCAGAGGTTTCATCTCCACCTTCAGGAACTCAGTCTATCTGGACGGATCAAACTACAAGCAATATCACAAAGTGAAAACAGGAAAGAAGAGAAAATAGTCTAGCCAGGGAACAGAAGACGAAGAAGCTGGTACGGAATCTTCACCCGTGATTCTGGTGGTGACATTCGCAGCTGGTTTTTCTTTGCCATCAGATGATGAAGTTATCCAAATATATAACAAGTTTGGGGATCTGAATAAGAAGAAAACAGAAATGTTACACGATTCAAATAGAAGTGGTAGACTGTCACTTTCAAAAGCATATGCTGGCACTTTGTGCATACATGCCTCAAGTGTTATATTCCTGAATTGAGAAAAATAACGAGTTAGGAATTATTTTCAGGTCGAGTGTTCAGGAGATGAAAATATGTAGTTTTATCTATAATAGAAGAGATGACAACAACAACAACGATTAATAGTATAGACTATCATTATACAATTTATATACAATAGATATACAAAAATAGACTGTCATTATACAGAAAATATACAAAATAAACTATCAATATACAAAATAGATAGTCACTATACAAAAATATAGAAAATAGACTGTTACTATACAAAAGATATACAAAATAGATAGTCATTATACAAAAATATACAAAATAGACTGTTACTATACAAAAAATATACAAAATAGACCGTCACTATACAAAATAGACTGTTACTATACAAAAAATATACAAAATAGACTGTTGTTATACCAAAAATATACAAAATAGACTGTCATTCAATTTTTAGCTAATATTATTAGATCCAGAAGTACAAAATACAATTTAAAAAGGCAAAAAAGGGTTGCTCTATCGCGCCAGGTAGGGGTTGAACCTGCGACCTTCAGCTTAGGAAATACACACCCTATCCACTGAGCTACAGGCACTTGTGTTGTCATGCTTATTCCTTTCGGCTACTATATCCAATATGTTTGGGCCGAAGGGCCATTTTTTGTAAGTGGTACAAAACGTGGGCTATTAAAATTTTGAGGGGCTATAGAGGGTAATTTTCTCAAATATTATTTACATGAAAAAAAAGATAAAAATCACGTTTTTAAATTTGAAACTCATCTTTAAATAAATTTAAATTCAGTTAAATGTATATATTTTGGAAAAAGTAAAAAAAATTATGACCAAACGGCTCCTTAAAATTTTAGCTTAAAGATGGCGCCGAGCGCTACTTCGTCTCCTTATATTGTATTTACAATCTTTTGAACAATATCATTACCTATAAAAATCTTAACTAGTGTGATTTCTTAAAATTTCTTTTTTATGTCTAATAGGTGAATGATATTATTGTAAGCACGTGATTTTTGCTTCACGGACAATCGCTCCAAAAGAAAATAAAAATAG